ACAATCTCCGTTGATTTAAAAAAAAATCGAGAAAATTCGTCAAAAAACGTGCTGTTAAAACGATTATAACTCGTTATGGGGTTTATGGGCCCGCTCACCGTCGGTCCCTCAAAATTGAAAACACATGTGCGCCTGTCTACCTCTAGCAGGGACGTCGATACCAGTTACCGTCGTTTGGGCCCTCAGGGGACAAGCAATGTACAATGTATTTGCGCCCCAAAGGGCGCAAAAGACTGTAACTGGTATCGACGTCCCTGAAAGAGGTAGGCAGGCGCACATGTGTTTTCAATTTTGAGGGACCGACGATGAGCGGATCCATAAACCCCATAATGAGTAATGATCGTTTTAACAGCATTTTTTTTGACGAAATTTCTCGATTTTTTTTTAATCAACGGAGATTGTTTATTAGAAAAATATTGACCGAATGTGTTTTACATTGAATTCAGAATGCATCGTTTTTTTTTCAAGTCGATTCGGCAATTCTAGAATGAGATAGCCGCAGTCGACATTTCTATTAATTGAATAAATAATTATTACAATATTGAGTTTTTTCTTCTCTCCTTGGCTTTCCAAGGGTTCAACAAAGCTCTGGAAAAATTGACGATTTAAAGAAAAAAAATTCGTACGTGTGGTAGCGGTTCAAAGTTTGCCGACTTTTACGGACCCTGAAAATCGAGGGGTTTTTCGGCTTCTCACAGCGATTATAAATAAACTAATGAAATTAAAAACTTGAAACTTCGTATTGGGTGAGTGAAATACTTATATTACACAGTGCAATTGGTTCCATATTTTGACGATTTTTTTTCGTCGAGTTATAGAAGTTTATTTCGAGTGGTCTCTACTTTTGACACCGACAGTAGTCCATTCTCTCATTCTCATAGCATACCCTGACTTTACATAATCTCCAACCACATCCATATCCATTCATATTCAGAGTTGGGCATCTGCACGGAGAGAAATGTTCAGTAAAAATTACGGAACTCACAATTCGCTCACTGATTACGGAATCGACTCAGAAAATTTAAGTGACGGTATTGGAATTTTTCACAGGAGATTCAGGTAAAAATTACGCAACGCTCTGGAAAAATGCTGTGACAGTTCCGTAAAATTTCCTACAACCACATTTCGCTCCGGAATTACGGAAAAGATACGTCATTTTTATTGAATATTTCTCTCCATGTGTCGATAACCGCAGTTTTAACATGAAGTTGTACAAAACCCATAATTTACGTAATAAATGTAAAAAATGTAAAATACCAGCTGAAGTTCCCTTTCAAGGTAAACTATGAAGTTTTGCGAAGATTATCCCTCGCGAGGGTGATAAAAGTCATGAGGTTCATACTTCGCCAGGATCATACTTCTCGAGAGTCACACGTCGTAAGAGTCATACCGTGTAAGGAATGCATTTTTCTGTACTGCTTCTCACGATTTCTCGTCTGGGAATTGGTATTACATACTTCCCAAACTCAAAAACTTGAAAATTACTACAGAAAAATATTGTTCCTGGGCTGTTCCGATGGGGTTTTTTTACTCGTGTGGTTGGCCAGTCCTCGCCTACGGCTCGGAGACCAACGCCACACGAGTAAAAAACCCCATCGCAACAGGCCGAAAAAATACTATTACAAGGGTCAATCTTATTATTTATTGATCTTTATTGAATTCATCGCGTCATCATCTTTTGTCTTGACATTAACTTATTCCATTCAGCATTCTTAAATGATAAAACTAATTCAGTTGTCTTTGCACGTATAAAAAAATCGTATAGAAATTTTCTATACGGATTGCATATAGAAATTCTGTAGGATTTTCGTATATGATATTCGGATATTTCTATACGAATATTTCCTATACCAATTATTTCTATACGTAAATTTTTAGATAAATTTTTATTTTCATACGAAAGATGTCTAAACGCTCCAAAGGAAAACGTAGAGAAATGTCGCAACTCCATACGAAATGTCTCTATACATGTGGCAGTGGGCCGTATAGGATCAAACCTACACGGAGAAATTTCTTAGAAAAATTCTAGTACGAGTACTGGAAAAAATTACAATCCACCGACTGTGAAAAATTCTAGTGCTATTAAGATAAAAATTTCTTGGTTTTTTTTAGTAAAATTTCAGGGGATTTCCGTGAAATTTTCACAGAAATACCGGGAAAAATTCACGTTTTCCCCAATAAAATTTCTAGTGCCGGCACTGAAATTTTTTCCTGGCCGTCACGTATTTACGCCTCTTTTTCCGTGCTAGCATTAGAATGTTTCCACAAAATTTATCTCCGTGTATAGAAATCGTATATAAATAATTTGTATAAAAAATATCCGTATAGAAATATCCGAATATCATATACGAAAATTCTATTGGGATCTCTCGTAGGGGCGTGGCCTGATATTTGGCCGACTGGTGTCCAGCCGTGAAAGTAATGCAACCAGGGGAGCGATTTTGCGCGTTTTATGTCGACATAAAATCGTAAATTTCAACCAATGACAGTCCTGTATTCGGAATACTCAACTAGGATTGGTTGAAATTTATAACTTTATGTCGACACAAATCGAGCAAAATCGCTCCCTAGGATGCTGGTCAGCTGGCCCATTACGCGAAACGTAGATCCCAATAGAAATTCTATACGCAACCCGTATAGTAAATTTCTATAAGATTTTTTCATTCGTGTGATAGCTTTTTTGAACTCTTCAGAACAAAATAGATCTTTTCAGGTTCAACTGGGCTTTTCGGGGACTCCAAGTAATAACGTGGATAATCCAATAAAGCTCAATAAATAATGAACTTGACTTCCTCACAATGGAGATGACTTGTGGCGTTGGTCTTTTCCAACGTTTGATCCTCGTGAAATTTACTTTTTACGAGGTATGATGCTTATGTTTTTGAGTTTCTTAAAATGCCGTAAATCGTATCATGTGATGCAATTGTACATTACGTCACCAGGCGATGAGATAATATTTTATGCCCCAAGTACTGAGATTCGTGTTATAATCGAACAAAGTAAAATTAAAATTCGCGGTTTATCTGTCCTCGGGACGCAATAGGGGTGGGTGTGATAAAACGGACACTTTAGACTTTTTTAAAATTATTCATAACTCAGAAACAAATTGATCAATTGAGCTCAGTTTAGGCTCGTCCCAAAGGGAAAGAATTGTTCTTTGTATTGAAAAAAAATATGTTGAATTTTATCAACATTTCAACCCCTCATTAACATTTAAAAAAAAATCAAAAGTGTCCGTTTTACCCCAATCTCCCCTATACTAATTTTTATGATATTTATGTATCCAATACGGCGTCTTCGTCAGTCCGAATACAATAAAACATTCTAGTAATCGAGAATTGCAAGCTTTTCGAAGTAACGTAGAAAATGTAAAAAACCCGTTGAGATAATTTACGTAAATTACGTCGGTAAAAAACGATGTAATTTACCAATGTAATTGACACGCCCAAGCCTGCTCATATCTCTTTGAAAACCAAGGGAACGGACTGGTCAGTTGAACTTCAGTGCCTTCTCTACCAACGTCCATTGAATTCATATTGGAGCTCCATTCGAATTCTAGTGAAATTCTAGTTGTTTTCTGCATCGATTTTTAATGAAAATTATTCAGCTTTATTTTTTTAACAGTTATTCGTTCGAAAAAAGTTGATAGATGTTGATTTTTCTACACAACTTTTGACATTATTCCTATGACGATGCCTAAGTAATTATGAGTTATCCAAGTTGTTGCTCTTGGGTTTTGTAATGAAGAACAAAAAAAATACAACGGGAAGAATTTGAAAATTCATGCCTGACCATGTCTAGAGCAAAACAGATCAAGATAATGATTCGTATAGAAAAATTGTAATTTATTGACTTACTTCTATCAAATATCTCTTCAAAATCGCAGGGTAAAGTTCGTGATCCTATTTACTAAAGATGAAAGAAACGTGAAGTTGTTTTATATCGAAATATCTCGAAACTGCCTGGCCGCTAATATATCATCGGTGAAATTAATAAATTCTGTCCTTTTATGGAGACCGATTATTTTGAAAAATTGAAGATAATTAATTGAAAATGAAAAATTCTTTATAGATTCTGTTACTCTACTTCGCTATTCACTTTCAATCATTGTCGAATTCTCTTTGATTCATTATCAATATTTATCAGGTATTCATGAGCAAATGAAATTCAATGAATTCCATTTCTTTATTTCAAAAAATGAATAGATCAGCGCGCGCGAGAGCGCGCGCATAGATCTTGTTTTTAATAAAAAGAATGGTGCAGAAAGCAAATAGAATTATTACAGAGTTTCAATGAGAATTCAAAGAAAAGTCCTCGACAGCGATCGGTAAATTTTTCCATGCATGTTAGGAACAGATATAAGATGATACGTTATTTCGAACAATACCTTCTTCGAAGCACAGTGTATTTGCAAGGAGCAGCATGGGGATCCACCAATCGTTGTCGTGTTGTTAGGGTACAGCGGCACTTGTTTGTTCCGATAGATAATCACCGTTTCCTGCGACAAACCAAACAATCGCTGATATTGAAATCCTTCTCTCACTGATTGAAGGACCATCATCGTATCCAAAATAACCTGGCCCATTCTTTAGGATTCTTCAATCTGCCTCAAGATGCACTTATTTGTTATCATTGCCTTTTGTTCACCATTGGGTAGGTCCATCATCGGCCAGTTTCCCGTCCACCCGATTTTCGCAAGGAAGCGCGCATGCGCAGACGTCAGAGGCTAAATGTCATCATTTTTATTTCACAACACGAATGCCCCTGTCGCTCCCAACAATTAATACGAAATCAGCAGGAGAATTATTACTCCACTTGGATACACTGAACCCACACAATTACCATAAAATCTCCAAAGATATTCATGATCTGAGATTCGCACAAAAATCTAGAGGTAAGTCGACGAATTCAAATGACTGGTCGACGTGTGCAGGTTAGGTATTGTTATTTCCAGAAAGTCAACAATTAGAGGGAAACATTTTCAGATGGATATTAATGACATGAGTAATTCACTGCCTCCATCATCTCCAATCTTCATTCAAGATGAAGGGATTTCTCCAAAACGTCGAAAGTTCGACACATCCAATTTATCGAGTTTCAGCTCGTCTACCGGGACTGAGGAGGAATGTAGACAACTGAAAACTCTGCTCGAAACCTTTCGTGCCAGATTATCCCGGACTGAAGCCACTGCCACCCAACTCCACAGAATGCGAAGAGAAGTCGATCAAATTTTTCTGAGTGAGAAGGCCGAGCTGCAGAGCGAACTCCATTTAGCCGAAGAGAGGATCGAACAGTTGCAAAAGCATCTCGTGACAGTAACCAAGAGTAATCATGAATTGCGTGAAGCCCTGGTGGCTGCAGAAGCAAACACGCCCCAGATGAAGACCAAGATGGGGCGAAGAATTTCGGTATTATCGATAGAGAATAATCAACTGAAAGCCAGCACAATTCCCTCAAATTCCGATTTTGGAAAAGCTTCGGCATCACCAGAGCCCCAAGAGGACGAAAAAGAAGGCCTGAAGGAGAAACTCAAAGCTGCTGTGAAAAAGATATTCAAGTTGGAGCAGAAACTGAACACTATGATCTCTCGAAGTGAATTTAAACGTCAGAGTGTTGAGCTCAAAAGTGCCAAGATTAGAATACAGGAGCTGGAAGCTGCAGAGAAAGAGAAAATCAAGGTGAGGAGTCGGTCAACGCCTAAGAAGGAATCGAAACCTGAGGATATTGAACTCGAAGACAAGTTGAACTCAGAGGAGTCCAACTGTATTCACTCAGAGGGGGAAAAATCAGCGAAGCCTAAAGCGAAGAACTTTGTAGAAAAAATGCTATTGTGCCCGAAAATTCTTTCCATCTCTCTCGAGCCTGTGAAAACGAAAGCACTCATTAAGAAGGAAATGTCGAGGGAGGAACATTTGGACGATGCAGAGGAGGCTGAACAGGTGCTAGTGCTGGAGGACAAGAAAGAACAAGCCTCAAGGTATCATTCATCAGACAGTGACACTTCTTCAGAGGCTTCAGAGCAAAAGACTTCTGCTAAGGACACTGGAGTACTTTCGATGGAAGAAGACGAAACACTGAGGTTCCAAGTGGATGATTATGTCCCTGGAGAGTTCCAAGTCATGTCATTTGGGAATGAGGCCTCAAATTCACGTGCTTATAGAGATTTCCGATGGATTGAGTCGAATAGTGCCGAGGTCTTGGTGGATTTAGAACGGGAGACATCTGATGGTGATGTAGCAGAAGCTGTTTCTGAGGTAAAACCTAAAGGACTGAAGCCTCGAGCCGATGACCACGTTCTTAAAGAATGTCATGTTGTTCTCACTAAGGATGACTCTCTGAATCTGGGTTATAACAAGATTCTTCGGGAGCGTGAGTTGAATTTCGATGATTCCTCAACAGGGTCAGAGCAGGAGACATCTCTTGAAGGAACAGTTGCAGTTGGAAATAAAGAGGAAGAAAAACTGGGGGACCAGATGTTTGAGCCTCACGTGATGTTGATTCAGAATGAGTATTCCAATCAGCTCCCTTTAAATTCAATTGATCACAATGACTCGTGGATAATGTCTCACGGCAACGACTCCTGCTCAGATGTTCGACTGGCATCATTGCACCAGCTAACACTCAAAGTTGGAAAGAATTTCATGCTGGTTTCAAACTCGAAATTCTTCCAGATGGACTGGCGTAATGAGTACAGGCATATTGGGAAGAACAAGTGGAGCTGCGAGAAATGTGATTGGATTGAATTGCGCAGATTTCGTATTGAGGATCATGTATGGGTGGTGCATTATGAAGAATGTTTCAAGTGTCCTCATTGTCCATTCAATGATGAGGGGAATTATTTTCCGTCGCGGAGCAACATGAAGCAGCATCTCAAACGAACGCATCCAGATTTGTCAATACAATCGAAGGGAGGTTTCTGAAAAACCGTACGATTCAACAGTGAAGTGATTTACATAGATGACTGATTTGACTCCAAGACGAGTTCAGCTTGAATTCCTTTGGAGAGGAATAAGAGAATTTTCTTGTGAAGAGTTTTTCATAGCCTGGAAAATGTATTTCGAAGTTAAATACTTTTTTTGCGTTACTAATTCGTCACTGAGGTAGTTGCGTCGTGGATTGTTTCAATCGATATAATTGTGTTGGAGCTCTCGACTGTTTTGCACACTTACACCTTTTGGAGAAGTGCTCCCAGGAGATTTATACGCTTGAATTCCTTTGGAAAGGAATAAGAGAATTTTCATATGAAGAGTTTTTCATAGTCTGGAAAATGTATTTCGAAGTTAAATACTCTTTTTGCGTTACCAATTCGCCACACGCACGAAAAAATTTAATAGAAAAACCTATTGAATTCGTTGGAACATTCTATTGAATTTCTATTAAACTTTCTATTAGTTTTTGGCTGATTCTATTGACATATTCAATAGAAAAAATGCAATAGAAAAAGTTTACAGAATTCGATTTTTCTATATAATTTATTCTTTTCATATATTTTCTGTAGAATTTGCTCGACTCAAATTTTCATTCCAAGTTTTTTTCATTCTATTTTTCTTTCCTTCTCATCAAGAAAATCAAACGAAAAAATTCAGAAAATTTGAGCCGAGGAAATTCTATAGAAAATATCTCAATAGAATAAGTTACATAAAAAAATTGAATTCTATTGACTTTTTCCACTGAATATTCTCTATTGAACATTTCAATAGAATCGGCCAAAAACTAATAGAACAGTTCAATAGAAATTCAATAGAATTTTCTAACGAATTCGATAGGTTTTTCTATTAAATTTTTTCGTCCATGCACTGAGGTAGTTGAGCCATAGATTGTTTCAGTCGATGTAATTGTATTGGAGCTCTCGACTGTTTTGCACACCTACACCTTTAGGAGAAGTGCACACACGAGTTTTATACACTTGGACTACGATTTGTATTATACTAAACGATTTTCTGCATGGAGTTGCATTAACCACTTTAAAATTTTCCTATGTTCGCACTCGTTTACCAAGTGCATCACATCCTGTGGTAGAAAAATTTTGATGCTCTTGACGCAAATTAGAGAACGAGGAATAATGGATACTCTCGACTTGTTTTTCAATGTTTATAACTTGGGAATAAATTTATCTTTCGATCTCAGTCTACGCTGATTACAAAAGGGATGAAATTGAGTTTATATTGAAAAAAAACATCCCATTCCATCAATGATTGAATGAATTATGGGTTATATATATAAAGGAATCAAAAGTGTCCACTTTGCCTTACACTCTCCCATATTCTAAAATTCCAAATCTAAATTTGTGAATATTATTAATTATTTCATATTGTGATAAACAATAAATCAATCAAATACTAATATTGACCATTAGATGAGATATCTGTCTTATGTACTCTCTCATCATTTGTCTTCCATTGGGAAATTATTCATTCACGATCAAATAGGAAACCCAGCTTATTACAAAGTGATTCAGGAATTTCCCTCGTTTTCAAAGTGTTGGTCTGTTCTTGGAAAAATTTTCAGTATTATGTATCAGGTCGTTAGTTATTCATCTTCCCTGGGGAAATTATTAATCCTTGATGGAGTAAGAAACCACGTATGAAAAAATTCAATAGAAAACCTAACGAATTCGCTAGAAAATTCTATTGGAATTCTACAGGAATTCTATGGGGTTTCTATAGGATTTCTATTGTAATTCTATTGAAAAATTCGATTTGTTTTTTACGCTGATTCTATTAGATATTCGATAAGAAAAAGTAGATTTCAAATTTCTGTTCGAATTTTTCTCTGGAGATTTTTTCTATTAGAAATTATTGGACACAAATTTTCTAAGTTTTGTCCGCAGGATTTTGTTTTGTTTTGCATTACAGAATGCGAGTGGAAAAAATATGAAAATTGATACCCAAGCATTCTTATAGAAAAAGTCTCAAGAGAACATTTCAAAGAGAAATTCGAAATCTATTGACTTTTTCTTATCGAATATCCAACAGAATTAGTGCAAAAAACAAATAGGATTTTTCAATAAAATTCCAATAGAAATTCTGTAGAAATCCCATAGAATTCCTATAGAATTCCAATAGAATTTCCTGGCGAATGCGCTAGGTTTTCTATTCAATGTTTTCAAGCGTGACCTGGCCTGTCAGACTCTTCTAGCGATTTTCCTGGGACCTGAAGTGTTGATCTATTCCTGCAGACGTTGGAATGGTGACGTTGGTTACGTTAAAGATTACATTGGTTGAATATACGATTAGTTCTGAATAAGGATGTAATGGACAAAGCTGATCGGTTATTTTACCATTGAGATTTTTCGCATTTGAAAAAAAAGATTCAATTCCATTCATTCATTAGCGAACAATTGAAGAAAAACTTTACCACACACATACATCAATGCATACGGATACTGTCTCGTCTCACACTGAAATTTTAATACTAAAATATGGGAGAACTGAGACGACCAAGCTACGATATTTTCACTAGGTGCGTTATGCATTGATGAATAAACTAGATTCAGAACTAGACTATTTATACTAGATAGTAACAAAAATGGCAGATAGCATATAATTTTATAAAAATCGAGTGACTAGATGACCACGATAATGTATTATTTTATCTGGGTATATCCTGTGGGTGATTTATGCATATCTTGTTCTCTAACTCCTATCATATTCTCTTTCTCTATGGATTGTTGATCATGTAATTTACTTGGGTTGTCCTTAGGGGGTCCTCATTAAACCCCAGGACATGAATAAAAAGCTTTAATTATAATAATAATAATAATAATAAACAGTGAATGTTTTGAATGTTTATAAATGAACATGAATGCGGTGAGTCACTTGAAACCATCACTATAATTGCACAACAAATTGTCTTTTACACTTTAAATTACACTAGTCTTAAAAGTACTTAACATTATGAGTATTCTAATATTAACTTGAATTGAAACTCTCTTTAATGCAAGACTTGGCGAGGTCGATTTAAAGGTTTTGATTTGAAGCGCGAGATGAATCCGTGAACTGGTCGGAGTAGACTGAAGTTTAAAATTTTCATGAGAAGTTACATGGCCCTTGCAATCTAAGGTGAGAAGGAGTTTCTGAAATACGATTGGTTGGAAAAGCCGTTGAAATTTCCCCTGGATGCAATTGGTCAAGTAAAGGGATAAGCAAAGTACATGTAGAAAAAAAAGGGAAAGCGGACCGGGGAGCGACGCGGTCTCGGTACGCGTTGAGGGCGAGTGTTGCACACGTGGTGACCAGCGGGGCTGTCTGGAAATGCAGCAACCGGGTAAACGTGCAAAAAATGGGAAATTTTCCTCACGAAAACTTATATTAAAAAAAGGGACTATTGTCCAAATTTTCCGTTTCCTACGTGATTTTCTGGAGAATCCTGAGATTTTGAGTTTCTCTTAAGTATTTCGAATAATTTATGATTTTGTCTACGCCTGGCCAAAGTCTTTAGTTTTTTAAAAAGTTTGAAAGTGAAGATTTTCATAAGATTTTAGAAATTTACTGAAATCTATTTTTTGTTAAATAAAATTGAATATTAAAAAATGTTGGTACGCAACAGACACGGTCTAACAATTGCATTTTCGGGCTTTGTAGATCATAATGGGATGGATAATATAACACAAAAAATCCAAAACTTAAATTTGAACGATTATAATACTTCTACTCGGAAGCAAAAATGGCAAATTGAATATTACCAACGTAGAAATTGTTTAATTTGAACATGCCAAAGTTTTAAACATCCAATACAGGGCCGCGATTTTGCTCGTTTTATGTCGACATAAAATCAAATTTCAACCAAGTCTAGTTGAATATTCCGAATCCAGGACTATCATTGGTTGAAATTTCCGATTTTATGTCGACATAAAACGAGCAAAATCGCTCCCCTGGAAACCATATTTTGTTCTCCCAATTTCTTTCTAAAACTCTCCAAGCGCATGCGCACGGTATCAGAAAAAAGGCGGGATTGCATTGTCGTGTTGTTACCAACCGTCACAATCATTGTAAAGACTGCAGATATAAAAGACCACAGTCATTTCGAGCTTCTTCTCTGTAAAAAAAAACCTGTGTCTGACGTGAATCATCCCCATTGAACTGACCAATTTCAACGGAAATATCTATACGTGAGTCAGGCAATAATTCAGTGTTTCAAGGTTAGATACTGCTTCCCTCAAATCAATACCGTTAATAACCCCAATATTGACAACTTTCAGATGAGCGAACAACTCATTGACAGGTCCCAGTGTTCATCATCTGAAGACCATCAGATACCTCCGAAACGCCGACGACTCGACATGTCGAACAGCTCGACCCTGAGCCCTTTATCGAATGACTTAGTCCTTTCCCTTGAACAGGAGTTGAGAGTTTTGAAGAGAGAAATGACAAGCCTCCGTAGCAGATTATCTCAGACTGATATCAGTCTCAAGAGGAGCAGACAAATGAATGAATGGTCTGACAATCAGATGAATATTCTCAAGGATCAGCTGCAAATGGAGACTGCGACAACAGAACGACTTCGACAAGAATTGAAGAGAAAAATGGAGACTATCCATGCAGCTCATGCAGCTCAGATGGCTGTAGAGTCCGAGCTGTCTCAAGTGAAAACCTTAACAAATGGAAGGATCAGCGGATTGATAACTGAAAATGCCTTACTAACAGCTCAGGAAGTACAGTCCACAAATGGAAAAATTCCAACACCATCGCAGTTCCAGAAGAATGACAGAGAAACTCAGAGGAAGCTGGAAGCTGCAGAGCAGAGGGTAATCAAATTGGAGGAGCAGTTGAAGGAGAATTCGAAACTGCAGAAGGAATTCAACTGTCAAAAAATGGAGCTCGAACACGCCAAAGTCACCATTAAGGCGTTGAAAGCTGAAATTCTCACCTGTCAACATCCAAAAGAGTTTACCACAATGAAAAAACGTGTTGCGCAGTTGGAGGAGGAACTATTCAAAGCAAAAGAAATTATCTCATCCCAACTTGATGCTGAAGAGGAAAGACGTCTTCTGAGGGAGAAAATATGCTTTCTGCAGAAGAAATTGGATCAGCAAAGCGAAAGTTTTCCAGTACAGAAGATCGTTGAGGTGAGGCCTAAAGTCGATGCAGAACAAATTGGGCGTGATGAGGTGGGGAAGACATCCCAGGAGGCTGTACAAGTACCAGATACAACGACAACAACAATCAAGATTGAGCCTGATTTGTTGTTGAGTGAAGAGAATTCTTCAGACGGTTTTCGGGACAAGGAAAGGAATGATTGTAATTCAGCTTCAAAGGCTAATGATGAAATCATTGCACCATTGGAAACCCAAGATGAAGATGAAGCTCCTCTCCTGCAACCATCGAAGGACATGACAACAGTGAAATTAACGAGAGGTCAGGCACAGAAGGCTCGTCCTACAAATCCAAAATTCTTCGAACTTGATTGGAATAAAGAGTACAGACACGTAGAAGGACAGAAATGGAAGTGCAATAGATGCTCCAAGACTTCTACATGTCAACCATACCTCAAGGATCATGTATGGGTTGCACATTATGGAGAGAAGTTTCAATGCACTCATTGTACTCATCATCTCTTGCGGAGGACTTCCATTGGTTGGCATAATAAGAAAAAGCATCCAGAGTTGGTGGCCCCGAAAGACATTAAAGCGAAAAGTAATTAATTGAGAAAAGTGGTTTTTCTATTCGCTACAATCATTGACGATGTGACAGTTCGTGAATGTCATACTTATATTAATATCATATTTTTTAATTTTTTCTGTTGGGAGAAATCATGTAAATATACATGAACTCGTTTTTAACATTGCAGAGTAGCAAATGACTTTTTCATAATTTCGGCATTAAAATTGTAATATTTATTAATTTCGTACCCTGGTGGATCGATCGATGGCTACTCGATGGGGACTCGATAGGAGATCGACTAGTGCACTCGGTCGATGGTCGGTCGATCATTCGTTGATCACTGGATAGATGGTTAGTCGATTGATGGTCGATCATTGGTTGATTGGTGGTCGATTGTTAGTCGATGATTAGTCGATTAACGGTCGATGGTCAATTGTTGGTCGATTGCTAGTCGATCATTGGTCGATCGTTATTTGATCGATAATCAACCAATCGAACAGCCATCGACTAGCACTTGACTGAGTGCTCAGCTCGACCCTCATATCGAGTGATCCATTAGGGTAAACAAGTTATGAAATAAGAAATACTTAGGACAAAACAATTCAACTCTAAATGGAACAAATATAACTGAAGGGAATAGAGGAATGTTTCCGAGGGCCTCCGGGTAAAGACAATTGAAAGTTATAAAGGAAGTGTGCCCTATAGTTTTAACGGCTCTGTTGAGCTCCGATTTTTAATGCAATTAATTCGAAGACGAATCAACTAGTACTTGGACTCAATTCACCATTGTTCAAAATTGATGGCCAAAATAAATAGAGGACATTGACTATATTGACTATATTCTAGGTTTTTGTTTTATTTTTTGGGGCTAACGAACAAGTGCGTGATTTAAGTAACACCGAGTACACCGCATGAGATTTATCATCTTATTATTGCACGGAGAGAAATGTTCAGTAAAAATTACGGAACTCACAATTCGCTTACCGATTACGGAGTCGACTCAGAAAATTTAAGTGACGTTATCGTAAATTTTCACAGTAGACTCAGGTAAAAATTAGGGACCGGTCTGGAAAAATTCCGTGATTTTAGGTAAAAATTACGTGATGTTCCATAAAATTCCCTGCAACCACATTTCGCTCCGGAATTACGGCAAAGATACGTCATTTTTATTGAATATTTCTCTCCGTGTGGACATTCTACAAAAGTGTCGAAGAATTTTTCTCTAAACTTAATATTCTGAAGATGAAATCGAAATATAATCGTCTCTTCCACACCGTATAACAGACATTTAAAGGAGCTTCAAGTTTGTGTCGTTGTTTACGCCGGGCATGATCTCAATGCCCATTAAAGATGTTATCTTAAACTCGCTAACAGGTTTAGGGAATTCAAATTCCGTAATTCTACACTAGTCAGCAAAATTAATTAGCTATTTTACGAAGATACTATGTTGTTCTACAATTCTATTGAAAATATTCAAGAGAACTTAAAGTTCTTCTAATCATAACACACCACTTTTGAATTGAGTACACAAGTGTTTCTGGATTCTCCTGCAACTACCATGTCGATAAAGAAGAGTTCCCCCCACGCGCATGCGTACGCCATGTCACACACGAAAATAGTGGGATATTATTGTTTGGAAGTGCAACAATCATCGTCATAAAAAAATCGAGGCACAACTCTCGTGAAGACCTTAAAGATCTACAATGTCAGTGAACAATCTCAATTAACGAGAAAGAGAATTCTCATAATTTGATCATCTCAAATGACATTTAAACGTAAGTACAAGAACCATCAACGCAAAAGTTTCGAGGTTAAGGGGTAATAGAAGGCCAACATTTCCTCGAAATTTTCAAACAAATTTCCTGCTCAAAGTTATTCGTATTTTTTTAACCCAAAGCACATTGACCTTCATCATCGCTTCCTGACGATTAATGTGCTTTGATTTGTAAAAATATCGATTGGCCGCATTCTGTTACCCCTTAAAGATTGTTGTTTTCAAATCAGTTACACCTAATAATAACACCTTTCAGATGAATGAGAGCTCCGTCGACTATTCACAATGTTCATCCCCTGGAGATCTGGAAATATCTCAAAAACGTCAAAAACTCGACGTATCAAACTCATCAAGTCTCAACACTTCAGACAATTACTCCGCACTACACCCTGAGTGGGAAACAACGTATATGAAGCAAGAAATCGCGCGCCTTCGTAAAAAATTATTGCAGACTGAAGCCCTCCTGAAGTTGCGTGAGGAGAAGAGAGAATTGTTTCAGAAAGAAATGGACATGCTGGAGATGCAGTTGCCGGTGGAGGCTGAAACGACTGAACGTCTGAATTGCGATCTGGAAACTGCAATAAGAAACATTCATGCATCTCGTGAAGCCCAGGCGACTGCAGAAGAAGAACTTGCTGAAACGAAGATCTGAATGGAGGAGAAAATCAGAGAATTGATGAATGAAAAGGCCTCACTAGCAGCCAAGACCATCCGTTACACATTTATAAAGACTCCAGCAGCATCACAGTCCCAGGAGGATGCGACAGAGACTCAAAGGAAGCTGAAAACTGCAGAACAAAGAATAATCAGGTTGGAAGAACAGTTGGAGGGACATTCAACGCTGCAGACACAATTCAATCGCCAGAAAAGGGAGCTTGAAGAGGCAGAAGTCACAATTCAGAAGTTGAAGGCAGAGTTATTCACTCGGGAATATCCAAAAGAACTTTCGGTAGTGACGAGACGTCTTGAGCAGTTGCAGCAGGAGTCGCCAGTTGCGAACAAAGTCATCTCATCCCTTCGTGCAGTTGAAGAAAAGAGGCATCTTCTTGAAGAGCAAAGGCTTCGTCTGCAGAAACGATTGGAGGAAAAGGGAGACAGTCCATTAGTGCAGGAGGATGTTGAGATACTGTTTGAAGGTAACAATTTACCGATGATCAGTACTGAGATGCAGACCAAAGCTCAGGACGTTCATCAATTACCAGATGTTCCACAAATAACGATTAAAATCGATTCTGATCTGCCGTTGAGTGAGGACGATTCGTCCAATGCAATCGATCATGAGAATGAGGATGACTGTGATTCTACAGATGCATTTGACCATCAGAGTTCGTCATCAAAAGCTCCAGACAAAGATGCATCTCCTTCCCTCCGAGCATCGAAGAACATTAACTCGTCTTCACTGAAATCGAAGAAAACAGAGCCACGAAGAGTCCCTGCAAGCACGACAGGAAAGGATTCCTTCGTTCGTCCCACGAATCCAAAGTTCTTCGAGATTAATTGGGATAGAGAGTACAGTTATCCGTCGAAGGGGCAATGGGCGTGCAAAAAATGTCCCCAAATGTTCACACGTAGTGTACGAATGCAGGATCATGTATGGGTAACACATTATGGCGAGAAATTCGAGTGTGTTCATTGCAGTTATCGTCTCTCGTGGAGGGGACACATTAGTGCGCACAATAAAAAAGAACATCCTCATTTAGTTTGTGAGAGGAAAAGTAAGAAAGGAATTTGTTAACTGAGAGATCTCGGGTAACAGTTTTCACTTGAGTTGAGCAAAACAACAAAATTTCATTGCATTATTATGTTTTTTCATTTGTCCTGGGAAAGATTGGTGTGAATATTCAGTAGATTCTGAGTATTAAATTGAAAGTGGCAGGATCTTTCGAATAAGGGCATTCAAATATTATCCTACATGAGTAGGAGGAAGGGGGGCTGTAGTTTTTGACACTTTGGGGTCCAAAAACTCCAAAAATCGTGTGATGTAATATTTGGCTGGCCTTCCTTATGAGCGTTGAATAAACCCGATGATATTTATGTGCTCAGTAGTGAAATGGTGAAGCTAGAAGCAACATTTTGTTTATTTTTATTTAATCAATGAGGATTTCCATGAAAAATGAAGACCACAAGAAGGTTTCTGTTTAATTCAAGACATCAGGTGATAATAAAACTCTAATCAAGTCTATCTTTCATTTCAACTCTTTTACTATACGAAATTAATGAATATACATGAAATTGAATTTGTCATAGATATTAGTTATATTTGCCAGTACTCACAAAGGAGTGGCTGCTCAAAATGACTTCGATTGACTGGCAGAACATTGATTGCTTCATGATTAAACACTTGTACTCATAGCTTTATCTGATTCAACGTACATACGATATAAATAGAATTCTATCCTCTCACATAAAGATGATACAACGGTCTGATATGAGATTTAAAAAAAAAATTTAAAGTAGGTACAATGTTTAGGTGAAACATTTTTCCAGGACATCATTCCTAAGTGAAAAAATGCGGGTGACAAGGCCCATTGAAATGGGCGAAAAAATTCCTGATAATTTTCAACATTCTGCTAGCATTCCTCATTAATTTTTCTATCAACTGATCAGGCATGCAATTTTTCAGATATTGGTGCAACCAGGACTGATGTTAATGCCATCATGAAATCTTTTATATATACAGGGAACAAAGCACGAGGACGGAGAATTCATCGTATAAAAGCAATAATAATTTTGAAAAAGATAGTGTAAAGGCTGTGGTCTTCATGACTATTCCATTTTTTATATATAAATGGGTTCAATTCGTTTAGTACACGGAGAGAAATGTTCAGTAAAAATTATGGAACTCACAATTCGCTCACCGATTACGGACTCGACTCAGGAAATTTAAGTGACGGTATCGTAATTTTTCACAGGAGATTCAGATAAAAATTACGGAACGCCCTGGAAAAATTCCGTGACAGTTCCGTAAAATTTCTTACAACTCCATTCCGCTCTGGAATTATGGAAAAGATACGTAATTTTTATTGAATATTTCTCTCCGTGTAGGTTTTACATAAACCCAATACAATTCTAATCGTACGTTTTCGCACAAAACTTCTCAACACTTTGGGCAATAACTTTGTACTTAGGACTGTACGAAACACAGACATCTGAAGATTAATCCCAGCAGATACATTAGGAATTGATAGGAGTCCTATTGAATGATGGATTTCCAACTGAAGCCCTGGACGTGTTTTCCTCCGAGTTGTGCATCTCTTGTCCTAGGGTGAACAGGCCAATTGCTGGACGGTGAAGTGAAATTCTAGTTTTGTGGTAGGATCTAAAATAAAAAAATCATCTAAATGGGAATATCATGGCTTTCATACTTTCAAGAATGTTTTAATTAGCAGAACAAAATTATTTGAAGGCAAAATAACGAAACAAAGAATAATTAAATTAATAAATAGTTGAATGCAGCCGAAACCCCTAATTTTCTCAATGATTGGGATATTTATTTATTAAATGTTGATTAATAGAAAAAATAATTCATCACATGATTATATACGAGTGATATTCTTGAAAAGTGAAATAATCAGTACAATTTTATTTTATTATTCATGGAATATTCAATATAAATAGAAATAAAATGAAACTTTGAATTATTCATTCTTTTCGCTCTTCGTTTAGATTATTCTCTTAAAGACACACAATTCCGGACGAAACATCTACTGAGAATCACAAAACTCAAAATTTAAAAAAAAACCTATTTCCCTCCTAACCCTCTCCGTGCGCATGCGCCCGTCATCAGATGAAAAGAGCGGGATTGCATTATGTCTATTGTTTGCTGTTGTCACAATAGCTGTAAAAGAGGGCAGGCTCAAATACCACAAGCATTGTTCGGAGCTTCTTCCTTACAAAAAAACTTACGATTGACGTGAATCATCTACATTGAATTGCTCGTTTTTCCTTCAAGGCTCTTAATGTAAGTCACAGGCCAGCATTGAATTCTTCAAGGTTAGACATTGTTTCCTCTCATCAATATCATTAATAACATCAATAATGACAACTTTCAGATGAGCGAGCACCTGATTGATAGGTTCCAGTGTTCATCATCTGGAGACCATCAGATACCTCTGATACGCCAACGACTCGACATGTCGAAGACCTCGACCCTGAGCACTTCATCGAATGACTCTGTCCTTCCCCTTGAACAGGAGTTGAGACTTTTGAAGAGAGAAATGACAAGCCTCCGTAGCAGATTATCTCAGACTGAAGTCAGCCTCAAGAGAAGCAGACAAATGAGTGAATGGTCTGACAATAAGATGAATATTCTCAAGGACCAGCTGCAGATGGAGACTGGAACAACAGAGCGACTACGACAAGAGCTGAAGAGAAAAATGGAGACTATCCATGCAGCTCATGCAGCTCAGATGGTTGTAGAGTTCGAGCTGTCTCAAGTGAAGACCTCAACAAAGGAAAGGGTCAGCGAATTGACAGCTGAAAATGCCTTACTAACAGCTCAGGCAGAACATTCCACAAGTGGAAAAATTCCAACACCATCACAGTCCCAGAAGAATGACAGAGAGACTCAGAGGAAGCTGGAAGCTGCAGAGCAGAGAGTGATTAGATTGGAGAAGCAGTTGGAGGAGAATTCGACACTGCAGAAGGAACTCAATATGCAAAAAATCAAGCACGAGCAAGCCAAAATCAACATTAAGGAGTTGAAAGCTAAAATACTCACCTGTGAATATCCAAAAGAGTTTGCAACAATGAAAACACGTGTTGCACACTTGGAGAGGGAATTACTTAAAACAAAAGAGATTGCCTCATCCCAATTTGGTGCTGAAGAGGAAAGACGTCTTCTGGGGGAGGAAATATGCTGTCTGCCGAAGAAATTGGACCAGCAAAGCGAAAGTTTTCCAGTGCAGAAGATCGTTGAGATGAGGCCTAATGTCAATGCAGTACAGATTCAGCGTGATGGGATGGGGAAGACATCCCAGGAGGCTGGAACAATACCAGAAACAACGACAACAACTATCAACATTGAGCCTGATTTGCTGTTGATTTACGAGAATTCGTCGGAGGCAGGTTGTGACGAGAAAACAAATCGTTTTAATTCAGCTTCAAATACAAATCATGAAGTTATCGCTAGATCAGGACCTCGAGATGCAGATGAAGCTCTTCTCCTGCAAGCAGCGAAGAACATGGCAGTAGGGAAATTGACGAAGGCAGAGCCCCAAAAGGCTCGTGAGAAGATCTCAAGGATGGTCCCCGCTGCTCGTCCCGCGAATCCCAAATTCTTCAAGCTTGATTGGACTACAGAATATCATAGCATAGGAGAACGCAAATGGAAGTGCAGTAAATGTTCCAAGATTTCTGGATCTCAACGATGCATGCAGGATCATGTATGGGTTGAACATTATGGAGAAAAATTCCAGTGCACTCATTGTTCTCATCTCCTGTCGGAGAGGTACTCCATCGGTTTGCATAATAGGGGAGAGCATCCAGAGTTGGTGATGATCAGACCTATTAAAAAGGAAATTGATTGAGTGAGAGACGTGGTTCCTTCATTCGCTGCAGTCATTGCACAATCCTAAAAGACCTCTGAGTTGGATTGATATTTCATTTTACAATTTGTTCTCGTGAATTCATGTAAATATGCAGCTGAATGATCGCAATTTAATATCAACCCTTATTATATTTTACTGGATTTCAACTTTGGAGAGGAGCAGGCGAGTATTTGATGATTGTTGAGAAAGAACTATAATGTTCACGAATTCAGTAACTAAGTTGCCAAGCATTCGGAGTTAATCAGCTAAATTTTAGGGGAGCTTCTCGATGAATGTCTCAATTCTACGGAACAAAGAAAAATTTTCCTGGAAGTCTTCGTGCTGAAGAGTCATAAGGATTGCATACAAGAAAGGCACCCACCAGCATTTTTCTAGTTCTGTTAAGTTTTCAAGTATTCGGAAAAAAAACACGTTCTGAATAAATAAACATGTTTTTCATTCTGATACTCCACTATACGTAATTAATAATTTTAATAAATAAAGAAAAGGGAGAACCATGTTGGTGTTAGTTTTATTTCTGAGCAATCGTCAAGAAGATCGTAATCAAAATAAGCTGGACTATAAAATGACTGACATGAATTGTTTGATTATTGAATGGTGCATGATGTCTAGGTGTCCACTGATGCGAAGACTCCATCTCATCTGCTCGAAAGATCTAATAGAATTTTCGAAGAATTTAAACGATCATTCGGCTGACATTCTTTTCATTTAGTGTGAGTGTATGGGGGGAAGGATGTTTCAGTTATTGTTGAACACGTGCCAAAAAATTGCGCAAGTTCTCTATAAGTTTTTAGCCGATTGTGTTAAGAAATTTCACAGCTTAAATAGAACTGTTGCATAGAGAATATGGAATAGAAAAAATGAATACATCGTGATCTTGCGATAAAACTTATTCTGTTGGCACTGTTCTAGAATTTCCTTAGTTGGGAGTTTCTAAGTTTTTTTCAATTAAGTCCAAATCAAATACTTGTACACCAGTCAGCACACTTAGGGGAGGGTGGGGTAAAATGGACATTTTAAACTTTTTTAAAATTATTCATAACTCAGAAACAAATTTATCAATTGAGCTCAGTTTAGGCTCGCCACAAAGGGAAAGAATAGTTCTTTCTATTGAAATAAATTTTATAAACATTTCAACAATATTGATTAAATTTTATTAACATTTCAACCGCTCATTAACATTAAAAAAAAGTCAAAAGTGTCGGTTTTACCCCAACCTCCCCTACTTCGTAATTCTATGAATATGTAGTATTTTTATATAATTCTATCCCAGAAATTCAAGAGAAGCAACAATCTTCCTGATCATAAAACACGGGAATTTCCAATTGGACTTAAAAATCTCTCTTGAGTCCCGCAATTGCCATGTCGATAAAGAAGACTTCTCTCCACGCGCGTGCGTAGGCCAGTTCACCTACACAAAAATGGCGGGATATCGTCATTCGGAAGTACAACAATAAGCGTCATAAAAAAATCTAAGCACACCTCTAGTAAAGATCCTGAAGGTCCATAATTACAATGAACAATATCCATTAACAGCAATTAAGATTCACATATAATTTGATACATTTCAACTTGACATCTAAACGTAAGTACCAGAACCTTCAACAGAAAAAGTTTTGAGGTTAAAAATTTGTAGCGAAGTGGTAAACTAGGATAAGCGCAAAAATGGAACTTTTTCAGGAGAGTTAAAAAATTTGACCACATTTGAGAGAACATTCGATTCCAGCAATAGAAAATTTAAAAAAAAACACTTATTCTAGTTTACCACTTCACTACAGAAATTATTGTTTCCAAATCAGTCACGCCTAACAATAAGAACTTTCAGATGAGTGAAAACTTCATCGACAGTTCACGATGTTTATCCCCTGGAGATCAGAAAATACCTCTAAAACGTCAAAAACTTGACACATCGAACAACTCCTCAAGTCTCAACACGTCAGGCAATTACCCCGTGCGGAACACCGAGTGGGAAACAACGTGCATGAAGGAAGAAATCGCGCGCCTTCGTAAAAAGTTATTGCAGACTGAAGCCCTCCTGAAGTTGCGTGAACAAAAAAGAGAATTGTTTCAGAAAGAGATGGACATGCTGGAGATGCAGTTGCAGGTGGAGGCTGAAACAACCGAGCGGCTGCATTGTGATCTAGAGACAGCAATAAGGAACATTCATGCAGCTCATGAAGCCCAGATGACTGCGGAAGACGCACTTTCTGAAGCAAAGACCTCAATGGAGAAGGAAATCAGAGAATTGATGAATGAAAACGCCTGTTTAGCAGCCAAGACCATCCGTTCCAGCTGTATGAAAACTCCAGCACCGTCACAGTTCCAGGAGGATGCTACAGAGACTCAGAGGAAGTTGAAAACTACAGAGCAGAGAATAATCAAGTTGGAAGAACAGTTGGAGGGGCATTTAACGCTGCAGGCACAATTCGATCGTCAGAAAAGGAAGCTTGAAGAGGCGGAAGTCACAATTCAGAAGTTGAAGGCAGAGTTATTCGCTCGGGAACATCCAAAAGAACTTTCGGTAGTGACGAGACGTCTTGAGCACTTGGAGCAGGGGTCTCTAGATGCGAACAAGTTCATCTCACCCCTTCGTGCAGTTGAAGAGAAGAGGCATCTTCTTGAAAAGCAAAGGCTTCGTTTGCAGAAACGATTGGAGGAAAAGGGAGACAGTCCATTAGTGCAGGAGGATGTTGAGATACTGTTTGAAGGTAACAATTTACCAATGATCAGTACTGAGATGCAGACCAAAGCTCAGGACGCTTATCAATTACCAGATGTTCCACAAATAACGATTAAAATCGATCCTGATCTGCCGTTGAGTGAGGACGATTTGTCCAACGCAATCGATCATGAGAATGAGGATGATTGTGATTCTACAGATGCATTTGATCATCAGAGTTCGTCATCAACAGCTCCAGACAAAGATGTATCTCCTTCCCTCCGAGCATCGAAGAACATCAACTCGTCTTCATTGAAATCGAAGAAAGCAGAGCCAAGAAGAGTCCCTGCGTGCACGGCAAGAAAGGATTCCTTCGTTCGTCCCACGAATCCAAAGTTCTTCGAGATTAATTGGGACAGAGAGTACAGTTGCCCGGAGAAGGGGACATGGGCGTGCAAGAAGTGCCCCGAAATTTTCACACGTAGCGAACGAATGCAGGATCATGTGTGGGTAACACATTATGGAGAGAAATTTGAGTGTGTCCATTGCTGTCATCGTCTCTCGTGGAGGGGATCCATTGGTGTGCATAATAAAAAAGAACATCCTCAATTAATTAATCAGAGGAAGAGTAAGAAAGAAATTCGTTAATTAATTGAGAGATACCAGAGGGAATAATTTTCGATTGAGCTTAACAACAGTAGATGTTGTGTTCGTTTCTTTCCTTTCAATTATTCTATAAGCCGCGAAAATTTCATCGCATTAGTATTTTTTTTTTTCATTTGTTCCGTTGGACGATTGACATGAACATTCAGTAGATTCTCAGTATTTAATTAAAAGTGATAAGATTCTTCTTATGAGTGTTAAATAAATACGAAAATATTTATATACAAAGACGGTTAACTCTCTTGAATTCCAGACATTACGTGGAAATAGCACTCTCAGCTAAATACATTCACTCTCATATCAACCTCTTACACGGAACTGAATTTCTTATGGATTTCAATTTCATTCGTCGGTACTTACAAATGAGGTGTGATTGTTTGTATTTATTGTCTTATCATTGAATATTTTTACTTATAGTTTTGTTTGATTCAACTCAAATAATATATTAATAAGATTCTCTCCTCTGAGATGAGATAAAAATGAACAAAAATTGAGTGAATAAAAATCCTTGTTGATGTTATTCATTTTTGCAAGACCTCATCCCTTAGTGAAAAATTTTACGTGATAAGGCTCGTTGAAATGGATTGAATTGCGTGTATCACTCCAATTCTGTTTTTTCCGCAGGTAAAACCTAGGTTTACAACCTTGGTGTAAAATGGTACTATTTAAATTGATTGTCAGGCATCCAATCGTATAATGTTTTGTTTAATACACAGAACTTGAGAAATCGCGTGCTAAATGGAAAAAAGCCGTATTGACCATTTTGAGATTTTTCGATCCAAGAAGTGGCAAAAGGTCGTTCAAACCTAGTCTAGAAAACATGAAATCTGGACGATTTGGGCCCTCTAGAATCATTTGCATCCAACTTCTGAGGACAATTTTTTTTTGGCGCATACGCCTTTTTTCCACAAATTTTTTCCCAATAGCAATTTTTCTGGAATGATGTTTATTTCCTTAAAAGTGCGACCGAATCCTATTCTAAAAAGAACATACGCTGTAAGCTGTAGCGTAACGCTCATTCCTCGAATTTCATTGGTCGAACATTCGGATCCGCCCGCACGTGTTCGACTTCGGTCGGCTTTCGGTTTTCGTGTCACAATTTGTCTTTAACACGCGCGCTCAAGCGCGCGATCGTTCTCGTATCAGAAAAACGAAGAGAAAACTTTTTTTTTTCATTTTTCCACTATTGGAGAAATATTTGTTGAAAAAGATCGGATGTACCGAAAAAATTGTCCTCAAAAGTTGGGTCAAAACGATTCTGCAGAGCGCAAATCGTCCAGATTTTGTGTTCCTTACATTACGTTCATATGCATACCTTTTATTATATTATTTGTCATGATAGAGAAGTATAATGAAGTTACACAAGTAGAACCAAGGCTAAAAAGGACACTAGATTGTTTTTTAAGGTTCATGAGTCAGGGATGATGATACCTTAAAGTCAATCAATTGAATCATTGCATGGAATGGCTCGTTGAATGGAGTCAATCGTTCTAATCAATGATGACTTTTTAAATTGTGCATGTAATGAATTTTTTTTCTGTGGAAAGTACAATTCTTGCTCTTTGTGATGAGCCTAGGCTGCACTCAATTGATTAATTTGTTTCAAAGTTATGGAGATTGATAGAAAATTTCAAAATGTCTATTTTGCCCCACCCTTTTGCATTGAGAAACTAATTTTGCGAGTTCGAAATGGTTCGAAGATGAGGTGTTGGGTGTCTGCATATGTTGAATTTGTGTATTGGAATGTGTCCAAGAAAACTTGGAGATAGCAATGAGGATATATCCTATCGTTTGAAAATCATAGAGTCACACACATCAGCATGAAACCCACGAATGCTAATATTGGAAGGACGACCTGTTGGATGAGAAACAAAATCAACTAGGAAAAGAGTTGAAAATAGCTGATGACTGACCTCATGATTAAATTATTTCACAACTCTACGTGTATTCTGAATTTTTTTTACAATTTGGCGAGGAACATTTTTTGAAGAAAGAAAGCATTTCTTCTCATCACAAAACCCAGAACACTTTCAAATGTAACTCCAAAGGCTCCCGCGATCGCGATTCCTCGTCGATAAAGAAGATTCTGCACATCCGCATCGAATCAGACAAAAAAAACAAGAGTTCATCCCGCTTTGGAGGAACAATAATAATACTCATTGAATTATATCTGCCCAGGTGTCATAACGATTCTAGAGCCCCATCTGAGTTCAGTCAATAATCTCAATTGATGTAGAAAATTATACCATAAATTGATTTCTCAGGTCTTGAGAATCTAGACGTAAGTACTAGGCTATCAACCACGATTTAGAGGTTAGAAATTGCTCTGTATATACGAATCAGTAAAACTTTAATAATGGGAATATTTACGCCGGAACCTTTGGGCTATTTAGATTAAACTGCCCAGTTTAGCCAGTAGAGGGAGGTTTTTTCTTAAAAATTGAAAAAAATTGCAGACGGCTGTATCTTCCATACAGCTGTAATTGTACGTGGATACGTCCATGGTCTTTCCTTCTTTCTGGAATTTCCTAGAAACTCCGGGCATTCCCTCGAACTTTCTGGAAACCCCTTGAATTCTCTCGAATTTTCTAGAAATTCCTTGAATTTTTTCGAAATTTCAAGAAACTTCTCGAATTCCCTCGAAATGTCTAGAATGCTCTAGACTTCCGATAGATAGCGTTGTACATAAGGACCGTTTCCCATAATGACCCCCCACATTGAAACCATAGACGTATCTACGTAAAATATTCGTGACCGTCATTGACCGGCTTCATGACGCCTTCGCATCTCTAGGTGTAAGTAGCTACAATAACAACTCAGTAACAAAACGCTAAAACGATTTATTAAGTCGTCTGAGCTTTTAGCAGAGTTGTCGAGGAGGCAGTATCTATTCACACGCTCCACGGTAACTTTGACCGTGGATATCTGGGAGATCGTGGACCCTCAACTTTTACTTCTCAAATTAAATCTAGACAATGAACTAGATACATCGAATCAATTGATAAGTGATATGCAGATAGTAGACTAGTAAATAATTTTCTCAAAATATTAATTCGTTGAATACGAATATCAGTCTAGATTAACGGAAATAAAAAATGAAATAAATAGTTGACAAGTAGTTGACTAAACGCAACTAAATGATGAAATAAATAGTTTTTTACACTTTATGTGAACGTTTTCTCAACAATATTCATATTTGTGTAATGGGGTCCGAGTGCAAGAGTGGGTGTCCAAATATAGTGTAAATGATTTTAAGGGTGATTTCCCAACCGGGGAAGAGTTGGGAAGAGAACTCTGCATTTCAATTCTGACTCAATTGTCAGAGTTGAAAACCAGAGTTCATAACAGAGATGTCTCATAAGATGTGAATGTTTTTTTGGGCCCGAATGAAAGGGCGAGGCTCGAAATGGCGTGCAAATGATTCTAAGGATGATTTTCTAACCAGGGGAGACTCCTAGACCCCATTAGACAATATTGTCACAACTCTGGTTTTCAACCCTGAAACCCGAGTTCAAAACCAAAGTTCGTAACAGAGACGTCAGACAAGATGTGAATGTTTTTTGAGGCCTGAGTGCAAGAGCGGGTCGCGAAATGCAGATGATTCTAAGGACCATTTTCCAACCAGGGGAGACTCCTAGACCCCACTGGACAATGTTGTCACAATTCTGATTTTCAACTCTGGATCCAGAGTCCAAAAACAGAGTTCATAGCGGAGATGTCAGACAAGATGTGAGTGAGAATCTACCGTGGATCCACGGTAAAATTTACCGTAGAGCGTGCGAATAGACACTGCCAAAATTTCGGCCTCCGGGGAGTTGACGTCACCGACCTTTTTAGATCACTAAACTATTTTCCGTGTGTTTCCTTATCAAATATGAGTTCTTGGGGACTTTTTACTTTTTTTCAAATGCTAATGACTTACTGAATTGTTGATGAAATTGGATCATTTTTTTTTTCATTCTTCCCCCTTGTGATAACCCTAGACTGAGCTCAATTGATAAATATGTGTATGAGTTATGAATATTTTTTAAAAAGACAAAAGTGTCCATTTTATCCCACCTTCCCCTATATTTGAGGAAAAAAAATATTTAAACAACAGGCAAGTTCCCTATTGAGGAAGGCGTCCATTTTAGCTTCTCGTTTTTGCCTTGCCTTACAACTCCTACGACCCAGTTTTATAACAATGTGTTCACTTTTATAAACTTGGAATGAAATCGGAACAGTAGATTTGATCCAATTCAACGCATTATTCAAATCTAGTGTCCATATTGCCCCACCCTCCCCTAGTTCCCGATTTGCTCTACAAAAAAGGTCATAACAAAAATTTTGCTATCTGCCATAGATTCCGACATATTCATTGAAACCTCACCAATAGTCAGAATCGACTTGAACTGTTTTACCGCTCGGTATTGAACTTTCAGATGAATCAGAGCCCCATCAACAGTATGCGATGTTCATCACCTGAAGCCCAAGGAGTACCTCCAAAGCATCGAGAACTCAATACATCGAACTTTTTGAGTCTCAATACGTCAGGCAACGATTCCGTACTCGATACTGAATTAGAAACAGCATGTATGAACGAAACAATTGCCTGGTTTAAAAGAACATCATCTCGGACTGAAGCTCTCCTCAAGATACGCAAACAAATTCAAGAATTGTCTATGAGAGAGCGGGATATCTTGGAAAGGAAGGTGAAGACCGAGACTGAGACGATAAAACAGCTGCAAGATGATCTGGAAATAGCAAGAAGCATTATTCATGCAGCTCTCAAAGCCCAGGCGACTGCTGAATCCGAACTATCTCAAGTGAAGACCTCAATGGAGGCGAAAATCCGTGAACTGACGAATGCAAACACATCACAGCCTCAGATGGACGACACAGAAATGAAAAACAAGCTGAATACTGCAGAACAAAGAATAATGACATTGGAAAAGCAGTTGGAGGAACGTTCAGCACTGCAGGGGCAATTCGATCATCAAAAAGAGGAGCTTGAAGAGGCAAAAAGCACCATTCTGACGTTGAAGGCGGAGTTACTCTCCTGTCGGACATCAAAAGCATGTTCGTTGATGACACGATGCGTTAAGCACTCGGAGGAGTCGCGCAAAGTGAACAAGGCCATTTCAACTCTTTGTGAAGTTGAAGAGGAGAGTCATTCTCTGGAAGAGCAATGGCAGGGAGAGAATCCACCAGTGCAGAAAAATGCTAAGATAACGTCTGGAGGCTGTAATCTAGTTAAGAACAGTGAAGAGATGCAGACAAAAGCCCAGGACACTGAGCAATTGCCGAATGTCACACAAATAATGATGCAGTCGTGGAATGGAGCCGATCATGGGGATGGGAACAATTGTTACTCATTCGAAGATAAAAATAATGAAACATTGAAGAACAGGAACTTGTCGGTAAGGGAATTGAGTAAAGGTAAACCACAGGGAGACCTCTGGCGCAGCTTGGGCACGGGTTCCATCGTTCGTCCTACGAATCCGAAGTTTTATGAGCTTGATTGGAATAAGGAGATTCGTTACCTGCAGAAGGGGAGATGGGCATGCAAGAAATGTCCAGAGATGCCCAAAGTTAAATATCGCATGCAGGATCATGTGTGGGTTGAACATTATGGAGGGAAATTTCAGTGTACTTATTGTTCTTGGCGTGCTTCATTCAGGACCTCTTTCAGCAAGCATAAGGAAAAAAAGCATCCACTATTATTGAGAAGAACGGCGAAAAAGTTGAGTTTGATTGATTGAGTGATTGGTCGATTGAGCGATTGTTATTTTTTGACGTGGATACGTCGATGGTTTCAGTAGGGCGGTCTTTTTGGGAAACGGTCCTTATGTGCAGCGCCATCTATTGGGATTCTAAAAAATTCGAGACATTTCAAAGTAATTCGAGAAGTTTCTTGAAATTTCGAAAAAAAAATCAAGGAGTTTCTAGAACATTTGAGGGAATGCAAGGAGTTTCTAGGAAATTCGAGACAGAAGGAAAGACCATGGACGGTATCCACGTACAATTACAGTTGTATCGAAGATACAGCCACCTGCAATTTTTGTTTCTCTCACATTAATCATTTGGGAAATCGGCAAATTTTATTATGTTGTTTCAATTTTACTCAATAATTTTTATCGCTCAACCTTGAGGTAACACTATATCTGATTAATGATGGTGTTATTAGTTGTCGACGATTCTATTCACTTTCGTCACGCAAAATGACGTTATTTATTATCAGTGAGGGATAGAGCAATTAGTGAAAAATAACTGTTTCGACATGTAATTTTTTATTTCTGGGCCGAATGACTGTTATTAAGTGATAGGGTATCCAATGCTGTCAATTTTATCTACATAAATTTTCTCTGTGAACTGGCCTCTATGTTCATCCCCCAGCTCATTAAATTTCTGCTCTTGACTCATGCTGCTTAACGCAGTCAACTTGATGCTCAAAATTCCCTCTATAAGATGGAGAGTATTTTCTGTTCTAATTACAAATTTATTTATGTTGTTTTTCCATTTTTCTTGTTTTATTTTTAATTTTATTTGCTTTTTGCATAAAGATGACTCAAAAATTTATTTATGTTGTTTTTCCTTTTTTCTTGTTTTATTTTTAATTTTATTTGCTTTTTCCATAAAGATGACTCATATCCATTGGGATTTTATGCCTACTTTCAAGAATTGGTCCATCCTTATCGGTTCACTTGTTTCATCGGAAGCCTTCATGACAACAAAGCACATTTTCTATTGATCAGTATTCCTTTTAAAAATTATGTAATAGTGGGTGGGATCCTGACGAGGGCAGAAATCAAGCGGAGGAACCAAGCCGAAACGTCGGCCACTGTTCATGTATAATTAAATTCATATAGTTCATTGATGATGGCTAGGCCAGATAATCTATTTTTCTTTATATTTATATTTTGCATTTGTTTTGGCAAAAAGTTCATATGCACATTCACTAGAATGGGTTTTACTTAATACATTATTTCAATGTTGAATAGTAACAGTAATGTTTACAAATATTAAATTGTAATTTTAATAGATTTAGTAGCTAATTCATGAAATGAGATAGACAACTGAACTCCAGGGTACCTATGGTTTCCATGAATATCTTTAGGTTGAACGGCGATAAGTACTTCTTCCTGAGGACATTTCGTTGAGTGACGTGAAAGCTTCGAAAAAGTTATGTATTGAAATTCCACTTACTCCTCTAGCTTCCAGATATTCGGCGAAAACTGAACTCTGAGCAGTCTCGTTTTATCTGTCAATTTACAATAAACGAAATTCACTAGTGATTTGACTATTCTTATTTATTGAATGTTAATTATTTTATGTTGTGTAAGCGTAACGCATTGTTGAATATTTTATTAACTTTTTAAGGTTCATTTCACTTGATGGTGGTTGCAAGACCTCCCCCCCCCGCAAAACTAATATAATTTTAATTACTTTAGCATTCCCAGTAGAATTCAAAATATTCATTCGAAAACTAGGGGGCTACGCCCCCTACTCGCTCCACTTGCCCACCCGAAAAAGACTTCCATATGGCCCCCATATAACCGCGACGTGACCCCCATATAGTCTCATATGACCTGTAATTTGACCCTCGTAACCCTTAATCGAACCTTTGTGACCCGAGATCTGACCCTCATTATAACTCTCGTGACCTTTATTTTGACCTTTGCGACCCTTAATTTGTAATGTTGAAGTATTAATTTCGAGTACCAAATTTTCATCACCGGAAGTCGATTTGGATTTTCATAACATAGAGAGATAAAGACCCTTATTTTGACTCGCGTGAGCCTTAGTTTCTGACCCCCATGATCCTTATTTGGACCCTTAATCTATGGTCATCAACTCTGGTTTTCAGTTGAAATTGGAATCGTTAATTTACACAATAATAGGAGTGCATTGACGATTTTTTCTTAACTCGCGAAAATCTTCAAACAATTTTCTATCGATTGGTGATAAAATTTTTTGGAAATAATGAAATAGGGGGGATAACGCCTTTTTTTTCAGGGGTGATTTTTCAAAAATTTATTTTAAAAAAAGTACTAACTAGCAAATGTTTTTTATTAGCTCGCAATTTTCTTCAAAATTACTTCAATGAGGAAAAAAATAAAAATTTGGAATATCTGTACATGAGGGGCTAATTGATCGGATCTAATATAACCAAGGAACAAGTGTTGGAATATAGATATAAAATATTGTTTACCTGCCTCTTCCTCATGGCATTGGATCATACATACCCGAAAAAATTTAGTGAAGTACAAAATAAAATGCAGGCAGATGAGGATAAAAAGCAAGATGTTGATGTCAATCAATAGTGTAAAGAGGGGGATGAGTTATTGATTGAATTGATCCTATCCGCATATATGGGATAAAAAAAATCCCAGATCTCCATTTATGATTTGATTTGTTGCTCCACATTCATGAACAGAATTCACAATTTGATTGTTTATTTGGCAGTGATGCAATATTTGAATGTTTATTTGTGAGTGGCGAACAGAATGAATTTTATTGCGCATGTCATCTGTGTTTATATTTTTTGATTGTGCGCCGGCCCTTATTAAAGTGTCTCTATCAATCAAAGAGGATTGACTAAAGTAGAGGCTCAGATCTCGGGGTTGAAGTGACCCGAAGCCAAAAATAGTTCGAACCCAATGGAGGGATGGCGCCACGGTCGAATCTGACGGCTGGGGGCGAACTGCCTGTGAGGGTAACTCGGCAAGTCGGCAGTAGCAGTCCCGCTGTCACACTGGAATTTATGCTTTCCTCGTCCTCAACATGTTCTTAATGTTTTTCAGGTGATTCATTTGCTGGCTAATTAATATTAAGGAATAAAACCCAGACGGTGTGGGGAGAATTTAATTCCCCATCAATCGATCCCCGTTGCA